AGTATCTCAAGCAAGCATATCACTACTTGACCACCAACAACAGCAGCGGTGTAAAGTTCGTTACAACTCCCACCTCTGTGGCGTCAAATAACGTCAGTCAAGATGGCATACTCACACCGACACTGGCACCGAATCACCCACAGTTGCAACCGGCCAAAACTGGCAAAACCTTCGATGAAGTTCTGAACGCCTACAATCGCTCAAAGATACGCAATAAAATCGAAGCGAGCGCTTTGCTCGAGCAACAACAACTGCAACAGCAATACAGATATGATTTTGCGAATGATGGTGCACTGCAAGATCATGTGATAATGGTGCTACAAGCGCTAATGGCCGTTATTAAATGCAATGCCGAAGTGGAGATACAATGCATCGGCAGTTTCAATATGATCTTCGGTTTCTTGGCGCATAATTTGTTCAATGAGGTAAGCTTTTTAATTTATTTTAACAAAAGCGAGTAATTAAATTTATTCTCTCACTTAGAACACTGCCGTCAAGACAGTGGCACTCGAAGTGGTCGCTTTGGTTTCACGCAATAAAGAATGCGTTTCGGAAATTGCCGCCTGTGAGTTGCTCGGTCAGTTTTTGGTTGCGCTCAAAGATCCCGATTTGCGCAGCAGCCAAGTGAAAGTGCTCGAAACGATGTCTGGTCTCATGAATGTACAGGAAATGATAAAGGAGGCACAAAACAAGGGTGCCGCCATTTATTTGCTCGATATGTTCTGTAATTCACGCAATCCGCTGATACGTGAAATGTGCGCCGAAATATTGGCGAAAATGACGGCGGATCGTTTAAGTGGGCCGAAGGTATGTGCCATTTTCATTAAGTTAGCACTCCATACACTATACCGTTAACGTCATTTCAGGTACGCATTACCGTATCGAAATTCCTGCCGCCGCTCTTCGTTGACGCAATGGTCGAATCACCGCAAACTTCAGTGCAATTATTCGAATCAATACATGAGCATCCGGAATTGATATGGAATGATAAGACGAGAGCTATAGTTTGTGATGCTGTGTCGGATACGTGTGAGAGGTACGCATGTAGGATTGTTTTCAATTTCTTTGGTAAAAACTCCATTTTTCGCTTTTTCATTATTTGTTTACGCAAACAGCTTCTATAGAGCGCAAAAGATCACCGACAAACATGTGTGGAAGGATCCTGAAGTGCTCAAAGATATCGTTTCCAATGAAATTGTTGTTGCTGGCGTTTATTTGCGTTTATTCGTCAGTAATCCGGCGTGGACTTTGCGTAAGCCGAAACAATTTTTGGCGGATTTACTGGATTTCGTTGTGGAGCAAATCAGCAAAAGCTCTACAGAGGTAAATCTTTTTATATATTTATAGGACTTTTGGAACTTATTAAGATATTTTGATCATTTGCTTATGACATATTTTTTAGATTTTTGTTTATTTTGAATGTAGATTCACCTTTGCATTTATATTCCTGTTTTGGTGTTCAAATGATATTTTAATCCATTAATCTTAATCCTATATTGTTCAAAATTCTTTTAAACTATTATTCCTGAATTTCTAACAGTACTATTTAACCTATATTATTTTTAACCCATATTATTATCATAGAAATATGAAAGAGATAAAATAATGAGATGGATGTATAAACTTATGTTGATTTCTATGCAATCTACAAACTTATGCACCCTCTTCTAGTTGCAATACATCGTAAGAGTCCAATTCTCTACTGTATTTTTTCAAGTGTTGCCGTAAAAAATTGTAGTTCTTCCATAATTAGAAACAGACGAGCCAACATGATTAATTAATTCATACACCAAACTACTTATTGACCCCTAGAAGTATGCTTTTAGGAACAGCTTAACTATACACTGACCGATAGTTTTATATTTTACTGTATTGGGAAAAGAAAATACTTGATTAGTAAAGCTGAAGACTTCGCCGAAAGTTCTGGTTTTGTTTTAATATTTATTTTTAAGCGGCGAAATCAAATTTATCACAGCATTAAAATATGCTATATATCCTAAATCATCGACCATTTTCCAAATTGCTTACCCACCAATCAAGGCAAAGTTAGATTTGCAGTTTGGTCTTTTATGACCTCAATTGACACATTTCCAGCAACATTTATTTAAGTTTCAGGATCATGAACATATAGTAGACAGGCAATCTGTCGAAAAATTGTCGAAAAATTTCTAGAATTTACTGACCATCATCGAAAGTTGCTGTCAGTTACATGAGCGTTAAAAAATATCGAAAAACATAGGAAACTATTTCTAACGTTTCACTATTGGTAAATGAACGAATTTCACAACAGTCACGCCCACATTTCGCATAACGGTATTTATATGAAACATGAAAAAGTGATTCGTTAAAAACCAATAATTGTAGCTTCAACTTTTAAAACCCTAATAAAGCGAACCTTTAGAAACGGGCATGATTAATCGTAATTTCTATTAAATTTTTATATACCATAAAATACTTGGTTGAACTAAAAAAAATCTGGTGTTCTGACTACATAGTCATAGTCGGATCATGAGGTTCAGCTTCTAAAAAAATTATATTATCGTTTTTCCATTATAAATAAGTAAATTATATTCAATTTTATAAAAGGATATTTTTGCATTTATATTCTTTAAAGCCCCTGGTTTATATTAAATTATGTACATACGTACATACATTTTCCTCTATCAACAGAAAGACGTTTTGGAGCTATCAACGACAGCTTTAGTAGAACTACTACGTTCACAACCGAATCTAGCCGACGATATCCCCGTTTTGGGGCACATACCGAAGCTGTTCAATTTGCTGTCCCTGCAGCCGAAAAGCACACTATCAGTATTGCACCAGCTCTCACTATCCGAGGTGAGTATTTGGCACCTACTTTTGAAAAATTAATTTTTTTTTTACTGTAAATTAATAATTTAAACTTATCTCATTTAAACAATTAACTTTACAGTTTTGTGTAAGTGCCGTCTCGCAAACCGAATGCATACACCCGCTTAAGAAATGCATGGAACAGCATCGTGATTGTATTGAGAAGGCCTGTGAGACGCTTAGTCGCCTGTTCAAATATCAACACGTGAGTATTTAAGCATTACTTAATTAATTTGTGTACTCTAAACAGGGTATGTTAAGTTTGCAACGAAGTTTGTAACGCACAAAAGGAAAGGTCGGACACCCTATAAAATGTATACATATACATAAATGATCAGCATAACGAGCTGAGTCAATTTAGCATGTCCGTCTGTTTGTCTATATATATTCGAACTAGTCCATCGATGAAAATCATGCCCTTGTACGGCAAACTTTTTCATATAACGAGATATCTTCACGAAATTTGGCACGTTTTATTATTCAAAGCAACAGTACAATATCCGAAGAAATTATTAACTTCGGACCATTATAGCATATAGCTGCAATACAAACTGATCGGTCAAAATCGAGTTCTTGTGTGGAAAACTTTTTTATTTGACAAGATATCTTCACGAAATTTGGCTTGAATTATTGTCAAAGACAACGGTACAATCTCCGTAGAAATTATTCAGATCGGAAAACTATAGCATATCGCTGCCATACAAACTGATCGATCAAAATAAGAATAAAGATGTTTTATACCCTTTTATGCTATAAAAAATATTGTGAAGGGTATTATAGCTGCGGTGTAGCCGAAATTAACGTTATTTTTTTATTTTTATTTTTTATTTTATTTGATATTTTTTATTTTATTTTACATTTTTTATTTTCCAAATATTTTTCTTGCAGGATTCACTCATTAGTCAATCGCTCGAAGTGAATTTGGTGCCATACTTATTGGGTCTCCTGGACAGTCGCCTGGAATATGTGGACAATGCATCGGCAGTGAAAGCGCAAATAGTCGCTGCACTCAAGGGCATGACACACAATCTCAATTACGGCGAACGCGTCACACAAATCTTGCTTAAACATCCCATATGGGCCGAGTACAAAGATCAACGACACGATCTTTTCATAACAGATACCAACATAAGAGGCTATCTGACAGGTACATACATGTTTGTTTGTTGTTGTTGCATATTATTTACTGTTAATGTGTTGTTTTTTTTTGTTTGTTTCATTTTTGCAGGTATAAATCCCACCGCTGGCTATTTGACGCAAGGACCAGCGCAAAGCGTGGACGTACTCACCTCACCGCCACCCATGGATCGCGACGACCCATCCGCACGACCGGCCATAGATTAATATACAGTGCATGTTGCGACAGTAACGTTTTACATGCTGTAGCTTTAGTTGCCATTCGGTGCGTAGCAACAACAACTGGCAAACTGGTCAGTATTGTCAAAAGGCTTTAATTGAGCGTGAACGCTGGAAATATACGATGCGATATCTTTTGATTGGTGCATAACATAGCGTAGGCACAAACAAAAACAAAAAGTGAAATCAACTAATATAAATAAATACAAAAAACAAAACAAAAAAATACAAATGAAAATGAAAATGACGCCGCACATACAAATTTAAACTGGAATGCACTCAATCAAGAAATCAAAGCGTCTTAGCATCATTGCTTATTTACTTGTTTATTGATTTTTTTATTACTATTATTATTATAATTATTATTATTACTGCTACTACTATTATTTTTTTGGTATTATTATGTTAATGTGAATATCTGCTTGTATACAATTTGCAACGCAAAGCGAAATGATGTGAAGAAAGTCTTTTTCAAAATCAAGAATATAAAAAATGTTTCCTTAAATTAGTGTATATTTACTAAATGAAATCAGTGTGTTTAACATCACGTAATACATGCTGAATTTACAAAGATTTCGTTGGTGTTTCGATGAGCAGAATTCAAGCTGCAGCTGCAGCTGGCATGCCGCCATACCAAATTGCACAGGCAATACAATATAAATTACGTATGAATTTCTGAAAACGATTCTCACCACTCTTAAGTACACAAAACGCATACACATACATATGTTTGTACACAACCACACTAACACACACACACACACACACGCAGTGTAAGCGATGCAACCTTAAAATACATGAAATTTTTATATTTGTAGATTATAAAGTTTACAAAAGAAAAATAGATACAAAAATGCATACAATTATAGTATAAAAAGAATTACAATACACATACAGCATATAAATATATATACATACATATATATTATATATAAATATATCTAACTTAAAGTGATACAGAGAAATCTTAAAAAATAAATAAAAACCGATTCATTTTGAATGATTGTGCGCGAATTTGTCGTTTGGAATTTTCGAAATTTCTGCGTAATTTTTAGACATTGCAATAATTTTTTTCTATCCCTCTATTTTTTTTTTATAGCCACTAATATAAAATAAAAGTTTTTTTTTCCGCTCACGTGCTGAAAACCAGACACAGCGCCAAACGTATATAGTCAATTGTTGAGGCGATTGCCGTGCCCACAATGCGCCAGCGCTCCAAATACAACACCAGAAAGAGATTGTATTTCTCATTGACAATGCGAAAGGAGTAGAGACGGTGCAGATAGCCGAGCACATTGAGTTTATCCGGGAAAGCTATGTCGTAGTGGCTGTAAACACGTGGTTATGAGTGATTTTGTCACGTTTAAGAATAAAAAGTGAGTGGTTTTATGTTAGTTTGTAAAGCTAACGGTTGTTTTGAGAATTCTTAACAATATTTGAAGTGTGTGTGAAGCTATCAGCTAGTGAAATCTTATAAAATTCCGGTCTAACGACTGTTTAGGACTACTAAAGTATCTCATGAGCGTCAAACAATTTCACTCGAAAAAAAAATTTTTCAAAATTATAATTTCGAAATTCAGTAGTTTTTAAATTTAAACTGCTTTTGAGATGTTTTTTTTTTATATCCTAAACAGGCAAACCCTTAAGGTTGCCACAAAGCTTGTAACACCCAGAAGCAAATTCCAAAACCATCTCAAATATATAAGTATGTATTTACATAAATGATTAGCGTGAGGAGCTGAGTCGATTTAGCCATATTTGTCTGTCTTACGTATATACAACTACTTTATGAGATATCTATCAGAAATTTTGCTCACGCCCTTTTCTTCACAAGAAGCTGCTCATTTGTCGCAATCGCCGAGATAGGAGCACTATAGCATATAGCTCCCATACAAACTGAACCATCGGAATCAAGTGTTCGTATGAAAAACTCTTTCATTTGACGAGGTATCTTCACGAAATTTGGCATGGACTATTATTTAAGGCAATAATCTAATATCCGAAAAAATTGCTCAGATCGAGTCACTGTAGCATATAGCTGTCATACAAACTGTCCGATCAAAGTTCTTGTAAGGAATCTTTTATATTTGTGAAGAATTTATTTACCTTTGGAACTTACTGAAGTTTGAATCACCGAAGCTATTATAGGTGATTCAAACTTCAATAAGTTCTAAAGTTGAATAAATCGACAGTCTAGGCGTTGGAATTGAATATTTAACTATAGATCCATTAAGAATGATAGGACTTCCGATATAATCTACAATTATTAAGAGATTCTCCATTTATCGAATTACATTGAGAGAAACTCTAGGAGTCGTTCGGTCAAGTCGAAAGAATTTGACCTATTTATGTCATAGGATTCGATAAAGAGCGTGACCCAAATAAATCTGTCTAAGCCATCAAGCTCGTTGAAGACTTTCGGTAACCTTTACAAGTATGCTAGCTGGTAGTATAAGCTATCTAGAATATAAATTCCGATTGGTTCCGAATACACAAACCGAAGTTTCTTGTAAACGAATCTATCAGAGGTATGCGGACAATTCGGCCTAATTTTGTTTGGATAGCAATTTAGAGAAGCGAGTGGTAAAGTTCTTAGGTGGCTACACTATAAGTATTATAGATTCTTATACGTACTTTTCGATGATATACTGCACCTCAGCGTAGGACCAAATAAATATGACCGCTGGATATAAGATCGGTAGCAGGATGAATATGGCCAAAATGAAGGTGACCAACACCTTGAGTATTGTCGGAAAAGGTAACGGCTCCAGCCAAGTGCCAACTAAATGCTCGATAAAGGGCTGTTGATAGTATATAATTTTACTAAAGAACGGCATGTGCTTCCACTGTTTCTTAAAAGAAAAAAAAAAAAAAACAATGAACAAAATTTGACATTAATAACACTAAGTAAAATAATATTGAAATATTTAAGAATATTAAGTGTAAATTAAAGCGTAACATTGTGAACCCTAGGGTTTTCGAGACTTATGTACATCTGGTTCGAATGTCTGAACGTTATTTTTTAAAATAGGTTATTAAAAGTTATGGATTCCTCCATTTGGACGTTTTTGAGTTCACTAACCGAAGCAACGATATCATGGATCTCAGCGCATATTATTAATTTACTACAAAGTCATCAAACACACACAGAGTCTCAAGTTGGCAATGTGCAGAGCTTCGTGAATTAGAAATAATTGTGGACCCGCTTTCCGGTTCGCTGGAAAATTGGCTTGGCTTTATTTACATACCATATATTTTCAGTACTCACAATTTTTCGCTGATGCAGAGGTTTATGCCAAATTTTCCGATACATCTTCGACGTGTAGAAATAAAAAGTTTTTAGAAATTATAAACTAAATATATATGTCGTAAAATAAAATAAAATAACAAATCTATTCGGTTTGAAAATGCTAACAAAAAGAAAAAGTACACAAAAACCAGTTGAAAAACAAAATTTCGAAGAAAAATCAGTTGGAATTGGGCGATAATAAAAATTCTAAAATTTGTAAGCATTTACGAGGTGTGTTCATAAAAGAACGAGAATTTTCGTTTTTTGAAAAAAATATTTATTTATTTATTTGTCTACATTAATATTGTCGCCTTCAAAATATTTCCCATTTGATATTATACACTTATGCCAGCGCTTCTGCTAATCGTCGAAGCACTGCTCAAACTCGATATTTGGGATAGTCTTTAGCTCTTTCAGCGATGCGCTTTTATATTTTATATGTTATCTATGCTTGTAAAGCAACGGTTCTTTAAGGTTCTTACGGGCTTGTGATGCGGACGATCTCGCTGTACTTTGTTCAAGGATGAGTCTTAATCGCCTATCTCGGCTCATAGAAAGGGCCCTGGACATAGCCGCCAACTGAGCGAATGGTTACGGCCTAACTGTCAATCCGGAGAAAACAGTAAACTGTATTTTCACAAGAAAGGGAAAAAATTGCACAATTCAATCTCCCCTCTTTAAGGGGTAGAACTATTGCGCTCTCGAGCTCTGTCAAATATCTCGAAGTTATCCCAGACAAAAAACTGATTTGGAGAGAACACATTGAAAGCAGGTCTTCCGAAGCCCCTCGAATGTGGAACTCCTGTAGAAAAGCCATTGCCACAAAGTAGTGTTTACGACCACACATGTTCTATTGGCTCTACACAAATATCATCCATCCTATACTAACATGCGGCACAGTGGTGTGGTGGATGACATTAACAGTTCCTTCAAGGGTTATTTAAACCAATGGACCCTAGAGGAACAATTCAGATCTTAGTACACTAGCAATACAGGGCATACCAAAAAGTTACTGTGTTGCTGTGTTGATGGTGGACAGACCAAAAAACCGCTAATTCTAGGCAAAAGGGAACTTAGTAATATTGTAGGGGTTATCACAGGGCACCTACACTTAAGTTGACACCTTCACAAAATTGGAAATGTGGCTTCGGCGCAAAACAGAACATGCACGGAGGATGATGAGACGCTGGAACATTATCTTTGCGAATGCCCAGCTTTCAGCCTGATGAGACAGGATATATGTATTTCACGGCTCCCAATGCTCCAACGTCATTGGGCAGCAGGTGTGGTAAAAATTAGTTATTTTACCAAATCTACTGAGTTGCTAGATAAGGCTTAATTTGGTTTGCCACTCGGGAGCACAATAGGTGTAATGATGGTCTAAGTGTGGTGGCATGTATGTAAGTGCCGATAGAGAAACGCTGAAACACCTTCTACGCCTAGGTACAACATTATCCAGAACTCGTCTTAAATATCTAGAAGCTTCGCAGTTCAAGGGACTAAAGGCAGCTCCTAAATTAGATATCAAGTCACTCTTAAAATATGCAAAAAGCGTTGAGGTCTTATATGACAAATACTTCAGCGGAAATTAAATTTAGTCTCCATTTGGCATTACTAAGGACCAGTAGGTCTATGCTATGTATGGTGTGACAGCCAGTCAGTATTACCTAAAGAGAGATATTATTATTTAAATATTTTCAGTCTTCTTAAGTTGAGCTCAACTTTCTAAACCTCTGTGAGACACACCCTAATAGTATCGAAACATTTCAACATTTTGTGCATGTTATGGATTCTTATGACATAAAAAAAATGGCGAAAAACTCAGCAATAAATTGCTTAATTTTTAAAAGGTTGCATTTTGATTCCACCGATATTTAATATGCTATAGACTAAGTTTACAAATGCTGTAGCACTTCGTAATATTATATATCTTAATATATTATAAATTATATGATATTATATTTAAATATATAGCATAAACACACAATGATACTTTAAATTAAAAACATATAGTGAGTGATGACGCCAGACATGGACATATACCATATATGTATGTATGTAAATATACTGTTATTACTTATTTGCTGCTAAGTAATATGTCAGGGATGATATTTAGTAACGCGGCGGCATATTTTGCATAAAATATTGCATTTGTTGTGGCTGATGTTGGCTCATGTTTGTGGACATATGTTGTTGTTGTTGCTGCTGTTGATGTTGCTGTTGCTGCTGCTGTTGATGTTGCTGTTGCTGCTGCTGCTGTTGTTGTTGCTGCTGTTGTTGTTGTGCCATTAAATTATAATTTGCCATTTGCAAATGATTGCCCGGCACATTGCCGACCCCACCAACCATTGGCACATTTGGTTGCTGCTGCTGTTGTTGTTGCACATTCTGCTGCTGTTGCTGCTGCGCATTGACATTCGTTTGCATTTGTTGTTGTTGAGTCTGTGCGCTGGTCATATTCGGCTTTTGTTGCTGTTGCTGTTGTTGTTGCTGCTGTGCTTGCTGTTGTGCGGCGGCAGCAAGCTGTTGTTGTAATGGCGCTTGATGTTGCTGTTGTTGTTGTTGTTGTGGCGTAAGCGCCTTTTGGAGACTGCAAAATTTAAATAGTGTTTTAGGAAGCGGTGGGGTTTTTAATTTTTTTTCGAATTTTTTCTTTCTTAAGTTTATGCATCTATTATGATATCTCAAAAGCTTGGTGTCAAATTTCAATTCGATTGCAGCAAAATTGACGACGTTACGTATTTATTTTTATGCCTGTTTTATAAACATTATATATTAGAATTCAAAACCTTAAAACTCTTTTCCACCACTCACGTTTTCAAAGTCGGCAAATCTCAAAACTACTGCACCGATCGTTTTGAAATTCTAACACTAAGCCTTTACATAATTTACGAGATAATGCTGGAGAATTTTTTCTTTAAATTTGATAGTATTGTTCATTTTACAAAAACAAATTAACCGTTTTTTTTTCGCAAATATCGCGTTTTTCCTTCAAAGTGTTCCCAAAAAGTGAAAAATTTAAATTTCGAAATAGATTTGATTTTAACTTTTTTCCAAGACGCTCCAGAGCAATTGCTGCCATTACCGTATTTTTTAAACAGAATATTCTTCAAGTGTCATACTATAATGTGCCATTTGTTTTCCAAAATAGAGTTTAACTGTTTCATCAAAAATAAAATCATAAAAGTGGGCCTTGTTTCACACGAGTTAACCCTAATTAATTCATTAAATGCGCTTTGGGTTGAAACAAAATTGCTTACTTCTTCTCGGTGTTGATATCCTCAATATTCAAGCGCGTTATGAAGCGCAGGCGCAGCTGCAAGGCAGGCCGCAGTCGCTTTATAATCACCTCCGATTCGTTTTTGATGACATTGCCGACATGTATATACTTGATGTGATAGCTGGGGGTAAGAGAAAAAATCATAAATCAGAAAAAGCAAGTGAGGACAAAGCAAACACTACTACATACAGAAAATCACAAATCGTATCTAAGTACTCGAGCGGTCCCTGCGCCTTGTCCACCACATCGAGCATTTCGTATATCATGATCGCAATGCCGGCCACCGTGTTGGGTTTTTCCAAATCGATGCGCTGCAAAAATGGTCCGAACACATGAAACAGAAAGACGAGCTGTTGCTCGGTGCGTACGCAAGGCTTCAGCTTCTCGGCTATGTATCTGTTATGTTGAAAAAATGTAGATTAAAAGAAGTAAAATTAAAAGGTTAAAAGGGAGGAAAAAAATATAAATGAATATGGAATAAATAATGTATAAATTACGCACTTGGTCATTGCCGCCAACTTAAAGCCGCCCATATGGTGGAAAGTGGCATGCGCCACAGCCAATATTAATACGTAGCTCTTCTCGATCATAGATTCGCAGACAGTCTTAAAATTGAATAATTCGAATGCCGAAAAGCGGTAATTCCATTTGATCATTTTGGGTGAGTTCAGCGCATCCTGCAAGCGATCGTAGATAACGGACCAATGCGTTTCAGGCAGCGCTGCCAATATACTGCCGACAGCATTGATATAGTTGTGTATCTCCTTTTGCGGTATCAATGAGTAGCCCTTCACAATGACATCCACCACATTGTTGGCGACAATCGACGGTGCAATCGGCAAGCTGAGCAACTCCACACACGTTACATACAGCGCATGGGCTGGTGCATTGGGGAATTCATTGAAACGCCAGTCGGTGTTGAAGAAGACATTTTTGCCCGTTATTGCTGCAGAAAAGTGTAAAAGGTGAATGAGCCGAATGTGGTGAGTTGCGCATAAGCAAAGGTGGTGAACTTACTATCCGATAGGCGACGCACTAGATTAATGTAGTAATTGAGCTCAGGATTCCAAAGTAACTCCTGATTTTGTAAAAACATTTTGTATGACTCGCTAACACACCAATTCGGAGGGCGTATGTCGCAAAAGGCGCCAGTAATAGCACTCACCTGAGGGTGGGAAAATAGCGTGAGGGGAGTTTAGAAGGAAAGTCAATTAAAATTTTAATAGAAGTTTTATAAAGTTTATTTTATTAAAAAGATTTAATAAAAAAAATAATAGTAAATTAACAAAAATAAATATAAAACTTAATAAATAAAAAATTAAGATTAAAAAAAAATTAATGTAAAATAAAATTTTAAAAATAAACAATAAAATAAAAAAAAATTGAAAAAAAATGTAAGACAAACTTAAAAAAAAAACAAAAATAATAAATAAAAATTAAAAAAAAATTTTTAAAAAAGTAAAAACAAAATAAGGATAATAAAAAATAATAACAATAATAAAAAAAAAATAATAATAATAAAAAAAAATAAAAATTAATATATAAAATGATAAAAAAAAATTAAAAAAAAAAACAAACAATATAAATAAAATAACTAAAATAAAAACAAAACAATATAAAAATATAACTAAAAATAAACAACAAACAAAATAAATAAAGAAGAAAAATTATATGAATAAAAATAATTAACAAAATTAATTAATTAAAACAAAATTAAAAACAAAATAATTTATAAGCTTTGATCTATTTTTTTTTAAATTACAATACATCTTGAAAAACAACATCAAGAGTTAACAAAACTAAAAAGAAACAAATTAAATTTATAAAGGATATATTAAATAAAATAATCGAAAACATATGATTTTTAAATTAAAAAACTTAAATTATACAAACAGAGAAAATATAATAAATAAAAATAGATAGCCATTTAAATTAAATGTATTCTTTTATTTTACAATCTCAAATAAAGGATTAAAATATAAAAAAAAATGTAAATGTAAAATTGTAAAAATGTATAATAAAAAAATGTAAATTTAAAATTTAAAATTTTTAATCCACAAACTGGATTAAAAATAATTAATCGATTTGATAAATAAAGAAGGAAAATTTTAATATCAAGCATGTTATAATTGAGAATTTTAGAATTAAAATTTTCATTCAAATTAAAAAATTTAATTTTCCAATTTTAATCCCGGACAATCACAATATCGGTATTAAAAAATTAAAATTTAATGTTTAATACAAAAGCTTTTAATAAAGTAAATCGCAAGCCTGAATAGTCTTACATATGCTTACCAATTTCTTTTTGAGCGACGGACGTTCACGCAAAATCCTTTCGTAAAAATGTAAAGTGTTATACAAATAAGTAATGGGGCGATCTGAGCAGAAAAGTACAAACAAAGTTTATTTCAGAATACAAAATTAATAAAAACTTGCAAGGAAACTAATTTTATTCCTTAACGCACCATGGAATTTGTAGAGAATACTTAGATGATCCAATATAACCTCACATATTTGATGCACATGTTGTATGGGCAATTCAATAAAGCGATGCACAACTATATCCAATACTGGTAAAAATCTCAGACATACGTTCGAGAAGTAGACCGGCAATGGTGGATGTGAAGCTGATTCGTCGGGTGCAAATTTTTCGGGATATGTCTGATGGAATTGTAAGTGCTTTTCATGCCTGCATGTGTATATGTAATGAAATATAATAATTTTTTTAGTTTTGTACAACAAATAAACTCACCAGTTATTCTGTTTCCAGTGATCGGGATGATTCTTTTTGCAAAATTCTTGTATGCGATTACGCAACTCCGATGTTTTCAATAACAACAATTGTATTATGAGGAAGCAGACCTGCGCCTCATTGCCCTCCTGTGTGCGCAAAGCCAAACAGAGTACCACACGATCAATGGTAACAATATTATACTTCCAAATCATGTTATTTATAGTATCGACACATTTATGTATGAAATCCTTGCCATTACTATTCGCCACCTCACCGACTAAGTAATCGCATAGCTTGCGTAAATGCGCTGATAATGCGCGTGCGCTAATGCCTTCCAATATTCTGCAAAGCGAACATAATTATAAACTAATTTTTTAGAAAAAAAAAATGTTGTTTTTGCTAATTTACTTGTATGCGACCGGACTGACGTTCTCCGTTTCCCAAATCATTTTAAAAAGCAGACAGAGGAAAAGTGGATTCGTGCTCGGGCGTATAAAATGATTCATAATATCATTATCATTCGACATTGAAGTCCAGTTACGATACTCCTCTTCAACTGATTTCTTCAGCAATTGTTTATTCTCCAGCGGATGATTATTTTGCACGAAGAATTCATTCAAAGCAGGCGGAAAGCAAGCAAGCGAGTGCGAAGCCCAAGAGTGTGGCGTATTCTGCATAATAACGTTAAGCAGCTCCTTGCACCAGGGCTGTAATTCATCGCCTATGTATGGAAGTAAAAAAAAAAAAATTATGGTGATTGTAACAACACAAATGACAAGTGGCAACAAACCAAGTCCAGTCATGTGCATTGAACGCGCCAGCGTTAATATGAGCACACGATTCAGCTCCTCACTTTCGCTGGAGGCAACCGAGCCGGGTGGCTTCTCGCTGAAGTAGCGTGACATTTGTGGCTGCATTTCAACAGAGCCCAAACCAGTGATGAGACGCAAAGCGGTGGATTCAAAGCTGTAATGGGCATTTATTTTTTTAATTGTAATTTTTATAAAATTTTCATTGTTATTTTGTAAATATTTACCACAAATTCAGTTGCATTTTATTGGTTTGCGGCGAAACGACGGTGCAGTGCGAGAGCAATTGCAGACGATATTGCGTAGGTATGTGATGTAGGCGATAAAGAAACATTTCCAGCAGCGTATGCAGTATACCCCACGCCTGGTGCTTGAAGACAGCGGGCAGCAATTGCTCTACAAGGAATAAATAATAAAATATTGAATGCGAAATTATAAAAAAAAAAAACATTAAAAAATATAAATACATACATATATTACAAATAATTTATTAATTTTTTTTATAAATATTAAAAAGTCTCAAAAATATTGAAGGTAAAAGTCTAATAAATAAACTTACGCAAGAAGCCTTTGATGCCTAACGATTCAATTTCTGTATAAACCAAAAGACGCGCATAAGTTTCAACCAAAGCCGGTGTTGGTATGGAGCTTTTGGCTTGCGCTTGCTTTATCATTTGCGTAAAAAAGCTATAAAAGTACATTAATAAAAAAAAAAGTTATTTTCTGAAATTGTTTGTATATAAAATACGCGTATTTCTCACCTGTGTATGAGCGACATCTTGCTGTGCACCGTTAAACTATCCAAGACAACCATAGAAAATGGCGCGGGTGGTACTTGACCACCAGCTGCAGTTTTGGCATTGCCATTTAACGTCTCGGTTAGTATATTCATGGGACGTGAGAAATATTCTTGATTTGTAGAATATGCATTACATATCAGTATGATACGAAAATCATCGCCCAAACTCATAGACATCAGTGTATTGGGCATAACAAGATGCTGCAGGAAACTGTGGGCGAGCAGCGTAATTAGTGATATATAAAGTTTTATTTTAATGATTTAGCATACTCATGATGATTTTTCAGAGCAATCGGTAATGGTCTATTTATACTCATATTCTCCAATCTAGCTTTCTTCATCAGGTGTATCCAAATGCATATGGGCGCCATCTATAATTTTTCAAATTCCCATTTAATTATTTGATATATTTTATTTTTATTAAAATAATTTACTTACCTGACGCAATAACGAAGATTTAGTGCAGTCTGGTAACTTCAGAGGCTCCTGCTCGGGATAAAGCAAGTCGAACAGCTTGAAGGTTGGCAGAAAATTGGCAATCTGTGTGAGTGTATGTAAAAGGAAATTGTAGTTAAAATGCTTTCAATATATTTTGAAGCTACTTACTGGATTTTTTTGTATGCTGCCTGATATAAATTGCAAGAGGATCCACATAAGCTGATCGCGACCCTTACGCAATTCTTTTTTAGATAGCTACAAACAGAAAATAAAATAAAAATATTTTATATAATTTTTAAATTAATCACACAAAACTTTACCTTTTCATATAAAGCCGACACTATATGTGCAAAACTAACAAACTGAAAGAGCACAAAATATATCAGTTGCGATGAGAGATGCAACCATACCCATTCATTCATGGAGTTCTGCTCTTCATAAACACTAAAACTACTACCCATCATAGAGTCATTGTTTTCAGTCATTTCCATTGCTGATATAATTAAATTAACTAATTGATCTTCGAGCTTATAGCAACGTTGCTTTTGTTGTTTCTGTAAACTCATCATCACCGATACCATTTCCTTGGAATATGGTTGATCCAGGACATAACGTAAAAGTTTAGTTTGCTCTTCGAGCAAATCGGAATCATAAGGTAGACTGCCCTTAAAAACGAAACGCAATGTATTCGGATCTAATTTCCACGAATTCATCATATGATCTGCATAACCAAAACTCTCCACAATGGGCAACATATGTGAGTGACCAATTATTGAAACCATTTGCGCGGTTCTACGGAATTCCTCCATGAAATCGGTCATCATTTTGTTAATAGTCTGAAAATTTACAGAATTTAATATGTAGCTAAAAAAAAACATTTAAGCGTTGAAAAATTACCCAGTGATATGGTGGTGGCTTCATGATTTCATTGGCAATAAAATATCCTGGCAGCAAGCAATTATTACGATCAAATATGTAATTTAGCGTATCCTTCAATGCGTGTAGCTGTGGCAAGAAGCTAACGTTTATATTCACAGGAAATGTCTGCGCTTTGTCACGGCACATCTGTAAATATAATAACGTAAGACAAGTCCACAGATTAAAAAAAATATATTACTATACTTTCATGATTTCGCGCACGCCTTTGTAGTCCACCAGAGGTAAGACGCGTTTAATAATTTTGAAGCTTTCGATCCAAAAACTTGCATTTTCGTAAACTAAACGATCGCAGAGGAAAATCTTATCACAAAGCATTCTGAAAATTAAAGAAACAAAACGTTTTACATAAAACTAAGAAAATCGTATAACATTCTAAGTCACCTTGCAGTTATAACATTAGTCTCTGCCAATTTTCCTAATGTATTCATAAGCACACGCAGGTGCGATATATTTGTTGCGTTTGCAGCGCGTTGCAAATACTGCCGGACCAAGCCTTCTTTGTTATCCTGCGGTACTTCTTTAAATTTGCTCACTACATACATATATAAATGATCAATGGAAGAAAATTATTATTATTCGCTTCAGGTTATCTTCACTTTTGTTACTTTACTCACATATAATGTCGGTAAATGAGGCGGATTTATCCTCTTCGCCATTTGGTTTATATACAATAACACTGAGGAACGCTTCCTCGATTGGTTCCACCTTCTGTAAGATACATATACAAATGTATATAACTATGAATATAAACACTTGTTGTTTTATCTGTTGCTGCAAATGCTATTCACCTACCAGAAAACTATTGACTGCTTCCAGTATTTCTGTGTCCATTTTATAAGCTTTAAGTATAATTTTTACCTTTTTAGTAAAACAAAGTATGTTTTATACAAAAAATGGCAAAAAGAATTTTACTGTAGACCGGCTATGCAAAGAAATTGCATTTACAGATGTTGACTCCCAAACAAATATTTTGTTGACGTGCTGAGGCTGCCAGACTCTTACATTAAATAATTTTTAATTTTATTAACCGCTTCAATACTTACCTAAAAAACGCTTAAGTGTGTGAATATTATGAAAAATGTGAAAATATTAATTTCAAAAGATTTTACTAATACTTTTCATGACCATATATAATACCATTATTATCCAAATTGTTTGCTTTCAGCATATCTCTCTAAATAATGGCGACTCTTGATTGGTGAAACGTAAAAATATTAGAGTTGCCCAACATTTTACTTGGCTTCGCGTCAAAAACTTTTTATGTGAACGTACTCATACAAAAGCGTACATTGAACTCTTTTGTCAAAACAAATGTCTGTCGCGAAGCGTAGAAAAAACTCTATGTGAATTGGCCATTAATACATTTCTCTTCGTTACTCTTTTTGATATCTCTTTATTTAATGCTGTCAATGCGCTGTTTATTTTTGCTGGCGTTAGTGTAAATTTATCATTGCCGGAGAAACTTGTGAATTTTTATTGCGTTTGACGTTTGAATTGTTTTCACAGAATCCGTGAAGATTAATAAATCTTGTATTATTATCGAAAAGTTAACATGGTATGGGGATTTGTGACTTGTGGCCCCAACGAGGCACTTGTGGTTTCAGGTAAGCTTTTTTCCCCCGAAGAAACTCAAATTCTAATTGGATTTCTAATGGGTGTAAAGAAAGTGAATTTATAAGTGACGTCATTTCGTGTTATTGATTTTTTGTGTGTTCGAAGCTTTGCTGTCCAAAAAGTGCCAATTAATTTTTTTTTATATATTATATTTATATGTGCGTACAAATATTTATGGTTATTAAACTTTATAATTAAGAAGCTTTTAGCATATGTGTTCGTGAATTGTCTTCTAAGTTAAGTGAAAATGACCTTCAGCAATTGGACGTTTTTCCAGACACGCAAGAACTCGGATGCCTTAAATGGACAGCGGTTGTAGAAACCGTTTTTAGTATCTATATGTAATAAATATGTGTACACACACAAGTTCATTGCAACAAGCGGTGCCTAACAAGTGGTTCCTAAGTCACGGGTACTCCCTACTTTGGCAAGATAAGCCATAAAAACGTTTCACAATAAAATACATACATATATGAGTTTGTGTGTCTAGTTTTGTTATTATAAATATATCGAGCCCTTGGCGCAACGATAAAACAGGCCCCCAAGGAGTGAGTTTTGCAAAATATACGTTTTTCATGATTATACTTATGTAAAATATTCCTTTTGAGCTTTGAATATGGAAAACTTTTTTATTTGACAAAAGGTCTCCACGAAATTTAGCATTGATTATTGTTGTTGTTGTTGATGTAGTAACAGCAGAAAGCATTTCTGAAGTAATTTCGAGGAATGTTGCCGAGTTGACAGTTCTTGGCCGGATAAAAATGCGGGTCCGTTCCCGTTACTTAGACCCGAATGTCGAGGGAACGGGTGGTTGTTGTTGTAGTTGTTGTAGCGGTAGAATTCTGCTGAGGTGACAGTCCTTGGCCGGAATAAATCCGGGTCCGTTCGAGAGAACGGGAATCATTGCCTGGTTTATTGTCTAAGGCAAAGATACAATCTCCAAAGGAATTGTTCAGATCCTACTACTGTAGCATATATAATATATGTAGCTGCCATTGAAGCGGACCGATCAAAATTAAGTATAGAATCTTTTGTAGTTGTGAAGGGTATTATAGCTTCGGCGCAACCGAAGTTAACGTTTTTTTTTTTTGCTTAATAGACGCTTAAGTTTAATAAATATATTTTATGTAATGTATAAGTGTATAATGACTTGTATAATTAATAAATAGATGTGAATCCCCCGCCGAGGCAGCTCATTTCATTGGTATGTTCCAAAAAAGTCCAGAATACTCATCTCTCAACAGGCGTTTGATATCAGCAATCATTCTTTCGCATACATTCATATGTATGTCTCATTTCAAAAATCTGAAATAAAATGTCTCAGCAATCCTATGAATATTTCAATACATAAATAACGTTTATACGGAAATAACAACTTACTTTGCCTTACATATTTATAGGATGCTGTTACATGAAACCGCTATTGGTGCCCGGTGGCCGTGCCTTTGTTTGGCCCACTATACAACAAGTGCAAAGGTAAAATTTCTATTTGAATTCCACTTTAAATCTGTAAATAATCTATATAACTGACATCACATAGAATTTCACTCAACACTATGACGCTGCAAGTGGAGAGTCCATGTGTCTACACCAGTCAGGGTGTACCCATTTCGGTAACCGGTATTGCACAAGTTAAAATTCAGGGTCAAAATGAGGATATGTTGCTGACGGCATGCGAACAATTCCTCGGTAAGGGTGAATCTGAAATTCAGCATATAGCTTTGGTAACGCTGGAAGGACATCAGCGCGCTATTATGGGCTCCATGACGGTTGAGGAAATCTATAAAGATCGCAAAAAATTTAGCAAACAAGTATTTGAGGTGGCTTCATCGGATTTAGCTAATATGGGCATAACTGTAGTCTCCTACACCATAAAAGATATTCGCGACGAAGAGGTGAGTTTGAGAGTGCAAAATGTAACCAGCATATTATTACATACGTATGCATACCCATAAATACTTGCACCTTAAACACTAACAAATATATTATATGTAGCGATGAAGATCGGATATAGTATATATACAATTCATTCCGGCATTTTTTAGTTTTTACATAAGAATTGCAATAATATTTTGTAGTATACAATTTATTCATACTAACCACACCTTTTAGCTGCCGTTATTTTTGATTTTTTTTAATAGACATATTTTCATTCGGTTTAATATTATTTATAAAAATATTTTTACTCGGTTTAGTTACGTATTTTTTACTTTTTTAATTAGGTAAGGAAATTGTAATTATTTAGTTTACAATTTTTGAATACTTTTATTATTATTTACTACTTACTTTTATTATTATTATTTGGTTTTTAAAGTACTTGAAGGGTTAATTAGTTTTATTATTTATTTAATTGACATTATATTTACTTTTTCTAATATTTTATTTTTAATTCAGCCTTTTTATGAACTCGGTGTGAAGAAATTATTCTCAAAAATTGTAAAATGTAAATTTACTAATTTTTTAAATATATTTATACTCTTATTTTTTATACATCTTCTAAATTATTAAATAAAATACTATATATTTTTATTTAATAATTTATTGGAATAATTATTAATCTGGTATCGATAAAATCGATAGCTTCAATCTTATTTTTTGCACCTATCCCGCTACCCTTGCTGTTTTCTTTTATAATATATTTGTTATAATTCATTTATAGCGCCAGCGTATTTCAGTAATTGTTTACAAATTGTATAAAGTAGTATTAGTTTGATTGAATTTCAGCTCAAATTAATCTCTTCTTTTTTTCGGAATGGTGAATGCATACATACTTAATGTAATTTTTTACAAATTACGTTATTCGTAATGAAGGGTGACTCAAAGGTATGTTTAATATACATATTATACTTGTGCAGTAGTTGTTTTTGTAGCTCATATATGTAAGCTAGTATACTTCAAGTTTATTTATAAATAAATTAATTAATTAATAATACTGATATTTTGTTTATTGATTTTAAGAGTTCGTTATGCCAATATACCATATATATTATATATGCAAATATGTAACTGCAATTTAAAAACTTCTAAATTTCAAAAAGTCCAAATTTTTTCCATATATGTATATCGAATATATTTGAAAATATACTTCGAAAATTTGAAGTTGATCCGGCCAGTGAAGGAGAGTGGGAGTGATCGTGGACAATTTCTCCTAGGCCTCTAGTCCTTAGGGGCCCCGTTGCTCTGCAACATTGTTTAACACTAATTTTTTCGTCAACAATTCACTATAATCAAAACCTTCTTAGATATATTTGTCAGGTAATGATCGTAGAAATAAGATTTTTCCTAGCAATTTCCATTTTTTAAGCTGCTCTGAAGTGTAGATTTTTTTCAAAAACTTTTTTTTGCGAAGTCACTTTGTCAAAAAAAATTTTTTTGACTAGTCCTTCGATCGTTACCTGTATTCATCTATTTTAATAACAATTTTTTTTTGGTTTCGATTTGAGATAATTTTAAGCAAAAATTCTTTCTTGTCGCTAGACACCTTAGTTGGAGGTCCTTCTGAAGATCGGCTACGGCATCAAGAGAATTCAAAATTTTTCAATATTTTTATATATTCATAAATTAAATGGTTCTTCAAAAAAAAAAAAACAAAAAACAACTGGTTTTAACCTCCTAATGATTATACTTATATACTTTAAGATTAACTTAAAATAATTCTTACGATTATTCTTAATATTTAGTTGAGGTACTTTGCGCAGTCATCGTTTCTTGTGTTGTAATTATTTGTGAGTCCAAATAAAATATATATATAAATAATGTAAAATGTTGTATAGATTCTAAGCATGTTTATTCATACCACTACTTTTGAAAAAAATGCTTTCGTGCCCGATAAATTATACATAAATAAATATATTTACGCAAAGCTCGTTTTTATATAACATAACCTCAAAATTATAATAAGTAAGCGTCTACACGTGTCAGCCGTTATGCGAAGCATGTGAAAATTTCCTTCCTTATTATTTCTTACACTAACACTTAACAAAACAACTTGCTTTCCACTATAATTTTAACTGTAATATGTTAACATTTTCAGGGTTATCTAAAATCTTTGGGTATGGCACGCACTGCCGAGGTCAAACGCGATGCACGCATTGGTGAAGCTGAGGCGCGTTGTGATGCGCATATCAAAGAAGCCATTGCCGAGGAGCAACGTATGGCATCACGTTTTCTCAATGACATCGAAATTGCCAAAGCGCAACGTGACTTCGAATTGAAAAAAGCCGCCTACGATGTGGAGGTACAAACGAAGAAAGCCGAAGCTGAAATGGCTTACGAATTGCAAGCAGCCAAAACAAAACAACGCATCAAGGAGGAACAAATGCAAGTCAAAGTGATTGAACGCACACAGGAGATTGCCGTGCAGGAGCAGGAGATACAACGTCGCGAACGAGAACTGGAGGCCACTGTGCGCCGACCAGCCGAAGCAGAGAAATTCAGATTGGAGAAATTGGCTGAGGCCAACAAATTGCGCGTGGTCATGGAGGCTGAAGCCGAAGCCGAATCGGTATGTTTGACACTCACACATATTTACATTCATAGAAATTAGATGAGAATCGCACCACGACCTGGGGGCTATTGTGCCCTTATTTACATCCATATATTTAAAAACTTTAAAAACATAAATTTTTGCAGATCAAAATTCGTGGTGAAGCCGAAGCATTCGCCATTGAAGCCAAAGCCAAAGCCGAGGCCGAACAAATGGCACAAAAAGCCGAAGCTTGGCGCGAATATCGCGAAGCAGCAATGGTGGAGATGTTGCTGGACACATTACCAAAGGTATAATTTAGTTTTTTACTTTTTTTTATTTTTCAATTAAATAAAATATTTTTTTGCGTTAGGTGGCCGCTGAAGTTGCCGCACCATTGTCGCAGGCTAAGAAGATCACCATGGTATCGAGCGGACAGGGTGAAATTGGTGCCGCCAAATTGACCGGTGAAATATTGCAGATAGTTAACAAAGTGCCGGAATTGGTGAAAAATATAACTGGGGTCGACATTGCCCGGGTACGTTCTAACTCTGAATTTATTTAAAAGCGCGTCAATTATTTGATAGCGAAATATTGTAGTGTGAAATAAGAAAAACTAACAGCTTTTGCTAATGTTAATGGCGTTGTGTACAGAAACATGGAACCAAAAGACTTGATGAACTAAATGAAAATAATTGTGCATTTATATACAGTAGCTTAGCGTTAATTTTTTTTTGTCATAATTTTAATAATTTTTTTTATTACTCTGAATATTGAGGTATATTTACGGCACATTCAAGTGTTGCAATAACAAGCTGTAATTATTTTGTTTTTGCTATTGCGCTGTAGAGTGTCAAAACTTGTCAAAAAATCAAACAAAATAAAAAAAAAATTTGTATATTTATATATATTTGACATCATTTCTGAAAACAAATACGATAAAAAACAATTGTCTTACCGTTTCCCAAAATTAAATCAAAATGAAACTTTGCTGCTTCCGACTTTTCAATTTGCCTTCATTTTAATCAATAAACGCAATTTTCGAATCACTTGTATTAAAATATTCATATATTATTATTGAGCAACTTAAAACTTAAATATAAAATTAAATAACTGTGTAAAAATTGCAAGATTTAATGTATTATCATATTTTATTTATACTTGTTTTAGTCTGTTTTCTGTTTCAGTGAAAAATTACTTTTGAATTGAAATATTATTTTGTTTTTAATATTTTCTATATTTGAAATTAATTAATTATCTAAATAATAGCAAAATTGTCTATAAAAAGGTAAAAAAAAAATATTGATGTAGTTTATCCAAAAACTGCTTAAGGCTACACTGAAAAAAAAAATAACTATTTTTGCGACAAAAAATAAAAAAAATGTGTTTTTATAACAAAATAATATCAGTTTTGAAATTTTAAGCTCTTGTGCTATTTTTATTTTTTGAGTGTAATTAATTGGAAAAGTTCCCTTATATTGAAGATATTTAATTATTTTTACCGTCAAATTGTTGCCAAAACCAAAAAACTCAGCCGGATTTTCAAAAAAAAAAAAAAAAATTATAATTGATTGAATAACTTTTTTAACATAATATTTTTATAATTGCTATTTTAACCCACGAGCCCACCAAACGTTTGTAACATATGTATACGCAGCAAAAAATATGCTAGAAATCATACATAACATTATAGGTACATAAAAAATTGCAGTGATCAAAAATATTTGTTTAAGATATCTTCAATTGCAATATATTACTGGGTATTCATAGGTTTAAAACATTTTTTTTATTGTAGAGCGTCTATAATTTTATGTTATATTATATTATAGAATTTTGAAAGCGATGCTAATATTTTTACAAATTAAAAGTGACAATGTTTTTGCTAAAAGGCGTTTCTATGCTCTGTGGGATACACACTATCTCTACTAATGTAACTTTCTATATAAATATAAAATTTCATATGATTTTTTTTTAATTTTCTAGTTTTTAGATTTTCGTTTTTAATAAACAACAAAATTTTGTAAAGTTTCTCTATTCTGACGTCAGCATAACAGCTGATGGAAGGTAGTGTAAATCGATAACTGGCATTGTGATTGAATAGCTGACAGCGAGAAGTGCTTGATATTATTTTAGACTCATTTTTTAAATTTTATACCCTCAACAGGGTATATTATGTTTGCCATGATGTTTGTAACACTCAAAAGGAAACGTCGTGGCAGAAATTTCGCACACGTCCTCTTCTGACCAAGAAGCTGCTTATTTGTCGAAACTGTCGATATCGGAAAACTCAAGCATATAGCTGCTGTACAAATTGAACGATCGGAATTAAGTGCTTGTATAAAAAATTTTTTCAATTGACGAGGTGTCTTCAAGAAATTTGGTGCAAGTGATTATTATCCAAGGCAACCCTACAATTTCCGAAGATATTGTTCAGATCGGACCACCATAACTTAGAGCTGTCATACAAATTGACCGATTAAAACCAATAATTAATTTTATGATATAAAAATGCACCTGTGAGAGGTAATCGGTGCAGTTGAAGTTAACGTTTTTTCTTGTTTTTCAATTATTTTTGCTTTTTGGTTTTTGAAAAAAATAGAACCTGAAAATTTGTTTGCTCTCATGCCGTAAATACACAATGCGACAAAATAAATTTAAAGCCATTTTTTTTACCATGTACACAACTATTTCAAAATTATTAAGTGATTAAAATGCTTTAAATATTTTATAGTTTTAATTGAAAAAAAAAATATATTTATAAATCAATGTGCATACATTTGTGATTTAAAAGCTGCCTACACTGAGAGAAAAAAACGTTAACAGCGGTTTTTGGTTAAACATTGTAGTAAAGAATTATTTCAATAATATTTCTGTTGCATATAAATTGTACAAAACAAAAAAACATTTTCAAATCAAATTTCTTTTGAAATCAGCTAGAAACTGTAAATCTAAACAATTATCTTATTTGCAACATATTTATACACACTTCATTACAACGCTTAACTTTATTTATAAACACATACTTTCTGTTTTGTTCATTTCAGTCCATGCATGCTGGCTAAATTATCAACACTAAGCTTCTACAACAAAAGAAAACAGCAACACAAGCAAACACGTGTACGAACAAATAGACGACAAAGATGAAGAATTATGAAAGAACTGTGTCAAATCCTTAAACCAAAGATTTTCAAAAATTAACAAATAATTTTAATTAAATTAAAGTTGCCATAATAAATTATTTAAATTAACATAAATGTATATTTGGCGTATAACAACGATACATTAGAGAAAAATTAATACAATTTCGAACAAAACAACCATAAAAACATTACAAACAGCGTAAGGTATATAAATACCAAAATTTTCTAAATTGAAATTTATAAAAATTATGTGGAGTTAAGGAATTTGGCATTGCGTAACAGTAAATTTAAGCACAAATTCTTGAAATATACATTAAAAAAAATCTAAATAAAATACAAAAAAAGTAATAAATAAAAATGAAATGTAAATGCAAAGCAAAAAAGAATATGCTGCCGAACACAATTTGCAACCACTGTATTGCGGGAATCACATACATTTATTGTGAAAATTTATAATATTTACAATTTTCAATATATGCTTGCATAAATATACTCGAATGTACACTTGTAATGTGCTTTTTCTATATTTGCAACAACATTAACAACACACACACACATCCATATATTTGGCTTTATAAACAAAGAGAATTGGCGACAAATTGTTTGCTGGGTATTGAAACTGCTGATTAAAATTATTACCCGGGAAAGTCAGCGTCAATCTTTATAATTTCCGAGTTAAGCTGCCCAGTGTATGCGAGTTTTTGTATACATATGTATGCATATGTGCCATACTCGTATGATGCGGAAAAAGCATTGGCTGTAAGCTTAGAGATAATCGCAAAAAATTGTATGCGCAAGTGTGAGCGCGTCAAAGCAAAGTAGAAACTTTTTTATTGTGAAGTCGGGCGAGTTTAGTGCATTATTTTTCAAATTATTCAAATTTTCAAAAAAGTAGAAAAAATATTTAAAAAAAATTAAATGCTTGTAATATTTTTTTCACAAAATTTTATAAATTTTCAAGTAAAAAAAAATTTTTTTTAAATTAAATATATTTGTAAAATTAAATATATGATTGTTTTTAGTTGAAATTTTATACAATTTTTTCGCCACAAGAATTTTGTATAATTTAATAACGAAAATTTTTACATTTTTGAAAAAATAATATAAAAAATGTATGAAAATTTAAACTGCACAATCGCAGAGTAAGAACGCTTTTTAGCACAAATTTCTGTTTTAAGTAAAACACAACAATATTGCAAGTAAAAATAACAATTACAAAAAAAATATAGGTATAATTTAAATTATATCATTTTATGCAAACAAGTTCAATTATTGTTTATTTTCGCAAACAAATATAATGAAAAACTTACTTTGTACTTTTCGCGCCACTCTACGCCGTTGGAGTTGTGAACGACGAAAATTTTACGAAAAATAATTGTTTATAAAACTAGCCATTCTTGCATTTAGAATTGTATGTACGTATGTGTAACAGAATGCCGTAACACTTTTTTAAATTAAACGAATTTATACTCACAACTTTCTGATTTAAATGATTCTATCTATGTATTCAATAAAAAAAAATTGCTATATTTTAATAAAGATTTTTTCCGAAATTCGATCTTTTTATAAATCTATTAAGAGCTATTTCACTATTAACGTGGTTTGCATGCAATAATCCCGAACATGCCAGAATATAGGTTAGGTTAGTCACCTTAAGCCTTTTGGAAGTACTTTACACTAAGATACCAGCATATCGTTATCCAAATACATAATTCTACTATTTTTGTGGAAGTGCTAAGTGCTCAAGTGGTCCTATTTAACTGGTAGAAGCATGGATTATAATTATGTAGAGCATAACCGCCCAATATCGCCACTAATGCGACAGAAATACGTTATCGCGATGTGATAGTTCTCGTATACCGCCACTCCTCAGCCGAAACGGTTTCATACCACGAAAGATAAGGTAAAAGTTTCGTATCAAACCGCTAATCGAAAGAATGCGAGATAGCTGCGACAATAGGCAACTGAAACACTCGCGTGGGTAGTATCCTTCATAAATCGGCACACACCTTCACCGTCAGCACAGCCAAGTTGGTCGTATTACCCTATGAACTGCTGCTCCGTCCACCGTGTTTTCCAGAGACCGCTTTCTAAGTATATTATGTTCTTATACTTATTCTTGCCATACATTTTTTTACAAAGTTTACAGTGCAAGGACAAATTCACAGTAAAAATTGCCGTTATTTTTTATTATATTATACATATAAACACGGAGTGGAGAGCTAAAGGAAATTGTATTGCGGTAATTGCTTTACATAAATATGGGAAACCGAAGTGAACTTCTCTAAAAACTTAAAAATTCGAGAATGTTTAAATTACCGCACTATTGATCGTTTTTCAAAACCGTCCACAGTGGATGACAGACCGACGACCACTTTGTACCGGCATGGTTCGAACCAATTCAGCCATAAACCACATTCTCAGAAATCCACTTAGAAAACAGAAAACTATGTCTTCACATGAAAGCCTACCGTCGGTTAACTGGACATTTTTTGACAATGCGCTTGAAGCAAATTAGGCTCAACAGATGCAAGCGACTTCTTCAGTGACTCGCGCTCAACGGCCATGAAAGTTGCCGTTTTTTACTCGCAGATGAAAAAATTTTCACTGTTGAAAAGGTTTTTCATAAACAAAACAACAAGATTCACGCAAAAATGTAATGCCAAGAGCTCAACGTGAGTCTCCTGTAAAGGCGTTACTTCTGTGGAAAAGGTGTTAAAACTGGGGCTGGCTTGTACCAGCAAAATGTTTTAGAAGGCTTGGTAAAACAGTTAAGCAATATTCTCTTCGATGGAGAGCATTGGTTCTTCTAGCAAGATTCAGCTCCAGCACACAAGACAAAAAGCAAGCAGCAGTGGGTTAAAAACAATATTACTGATTTCATAGCTGCTGATCATTGGCCGTTTGGAAGTTCAGCTTTGAATTCATCGGAAATCAGAAATTTGGAGAGTCTCAAAAATCTCATGCTGCTGTTGATCAGTAGCCGAATCGTTTCTGAGCTTAGGTGAAAGTAAAAATTGAGTATTGCGAATAAAATTTTGTACATCGTTCACTAAATATATAAAAAATTAACTTTATTAAAAAATTTATTATATTTTCATTTTTACAACGGCCTAAACTTGTAACAGAACTTATGTCAGCACTAAGTATGCGGGTCATTCCATCGGAAATTTACATTAAACATTTTTTTTTTGTACAAAACCCTTTTTTTTTGTGTTCTTTGAGGCAAAATATTGGATACGTATTTTTTTATTTCGACTCAATATGAAAAATTTTGGAGTTATAAATTTAAAAAAATTTCAACGCACGAAAAAAATACTTTTAAACATTTGTGTTTGCGAAGAAAAGTATTTCATTATAAAAAAAACTAGAAAGCCTATTGTTTACGATTTTCCTCAACGTGTTCAATATTTTGCCTTACAAATAAAAAAAAGTTTTGTACGAAAAAAATTTTTGAATGTAAATTTTCGATGGAATGACCCATACATATATACAAAGTTTTCCAATAGGAGTGTTATGATTAAAAAAAAAAACACACTTATTGTTTATTATGTTTTTTATTTAGTGTTAAATACAATCATTATAGTTAAGTTTTAAATATAACAACATTCAAATGACCTGCAAGACTTCTTTTGCAGGAACGAATTCGATGAACCCAATTTTTGAGTACTTTTTCCACTTAATCATGTCGTATGTCACGAATAACACGTTCAATATTGACTTCCAAGGCTTGAGAGAGCCTAGTTTATTGCTAAAGACCAATGACTTCAAATAACCCCACAAGAAGTAGTCTAATCGTGTTACATCACAACTTCTTGGAGGCCATTCAATGCACAATTTCTTGAAATTATTATACTTATTACAATATTTATATTATTATATTATCGAATCTCCAAACTTTTCTCGCAATAATTCGGTTGTCGCACGTGCTGTGTGGCACGTAGCCTCATCTTGTTGGAACCCGATGTTGTCAAGATCAACTTCTTCCAGTTGCGGTCATAAAAAGTTGGTTATTAGCGATTTATACCGCTCTCCACTGACAGTAACGGTGTCACCAAGTTCATTTCGAAAGAAGTATGAACCTGTGATTCCATCAGACCAAAAACCACACCAAAATGTCAATTTAGGTGAATGTAATGGTTGTTCATGAATGATTTGTGGATTTTCTTTGCAACAGAATCGACAGTATTGTTTATTTACCGCACCAATTAGAGGAAAGTGAGCCTCATTGGAGAAGATGATTTTTTTTTTGAACCGTCATCGTTTTTAAGTTGTTCCAAGGCAATACCTATAAGCAAATTTACGACGTTTACGGTGGTCCAATGGCTTCAATTTTTGAGTGAGAACAATGATGCAATCCCAAATCCCAGATTCCAGATCCTTTGTCTTATTGGCACTTTAATATTATGTCAAGAAAATGTACGCTCCAAATTTTCAACAATTCGACGAATAGTGAGCACAGGTGGACGATTTTACGACCATAAAATGGCAAAAGCGCACGAAAAGTTGCAATTGGTGAACGATTATTTTGATAATAAAATTGAATAATTTGTAAACGTTCTTTCTTGCGTATATATTGATGAAATACGATGAAATTGTAAACATTACTATAATATATATGTTATATATATGATGGGTTTAAGAAGTTGGACAATCGCAAGGTAAAGTGTATCGAGCTAAAAGAGTAGTCTCCTTTTGGTTGAGGAGTAGTTTGAAAATTTTACTTGTTTTACTATTACTCTTTGTAAGCAATATATATGTATATATAAATACATTACGACTCATTAGCAAACAAAAAATAGTAATAATTATAATAAAAGAAAAGAACCTTGCTTTAACCTGCTTCAATGTAAGTTGAACTCGGCAATATCAAACCGTTAAATTGCTGCTACAATAGATAAAAAATTGTAACTTGTTTGAGACTATATCAATGCTGATATCTATACTGAATCCATCTATACCATATTTAAATTTAAGATTAACAAATTCATAAAAAACGCCACCAATTTTTTTTTTGTTATTTTTATTTATTATATATAATTCAAGATGATCTAACACTGTGATTTTTGTTTTATTTTCTTTTACATACAAACATGTTTAGTTTAATTTTTTTCTCATTACATTTGTTTACTTGTTTCTCCTTTTGTTGTTTTTTATTTGTTATTAGTTGTATTACTCGCAATTGTTGTTGTCATTGTGAGTGTAGCTGCAGCTCGCGTTCACCAATTAAATTTTATGGCTATTTATTAATTATTCATTTTACCCTTTTTTCATTTGTGTGTTCTCTTATAGACATACAATCTTTGCAGTTTTACTTAATTTTATTTTTGCTTAAATTTTTTTTGGTAAATATTTTCATTTTATTATGCAAGTAATGCCAAAAAAGTATCGTTTATATTTTACTATTATTATTTTTATTACATAATAATTTTTTTTGCTTATGTACTGTTTTCATATTACTGTATAATTATTAAGTTCTTATTAGTTGTTATAGTAAGAAATAAAATTTGTTAGTAATCGGATTTGTATTGTTTGTTTTTGTATTTAATTTAATTTATTTTTTGGTATGATTTTGATGTACATATGTTTGGATGACACTCATTTCATTACTTAACGGTTCGGTTTGTTTACATTTAGTGTTGTTGTTGTTGTGTGAAAATATAAAATAACGATTGTGTGTATGTATTTGTTAATTATTTAGTGTATTTAATCAACTGACTTAATTTAATTAATGAATTTTAATTACATAATACATTAAAACGGACGTAACCCCGTACAATTGTTACTTTAAGTTGAAACCTAAGTTGAAATACATTTTTAAAATCTTAAAAAAAATTAAAGGCATATTTTCATTGTAGCTTCTTTTTAAGTAAATAAATAGTTCGCCTTTGGTATGCAGATCCATATGGAATTCGTAAATTCCACATTTCGCCAACTGTTGCATACTTTTAGGCGCATCAGCTTTCTAACATTTGTGAATAGCCTCTACGTTAATAGATATTATTACCGTTATTGTAACTTACCGATTTACGGAAGGAGTCTACTACCCGCTTATCAAATGTACAATACATAAAATAAAATATAAAGTGAATTTAATGCTACTAAAGGTATGCAATGCAAATACTTTGCCACCATTTCGTATTTAATATACTTAAAAGACACCGTTGACTAAAAGACCAATTAGTATAACTAATTTTTTATACATGCAAGCTCAATTGGGACTGATTGGATACTGACAATAATTAGTCACAAGATGAATATTGTTGATGGAAAGTGTGGTCTTTGCAATCTTAAGCCGCCTCCGATCGGCTATTAGATTTCTAGTATTCATATGATAATCATATTTTAATTTAAAGAAAGTTCGAAGGTTCTGAAATACACTCCTAACATGTAAAGTCGCTTTCAAACGGATTTTGCCTTTTTATAATGTAAAGAAGGCTCGGAGTCCTTAAATTAATTCGTTGGAAAAAAGCTTGGAAAAAGCTTCCGAATCGGCGAAGCTTTTTTGTAATCAAAAATAAGTAGGTTCCGAAATTTATTGACGCAGACTGAG